TTGGTGGTTTTCAAATCCGCAGTTATGTTCAGACGTGAACATTAGATCTCTTATTTTAATCTCAAACAGTGACAATCTGGTTTGATTCCTAGCTGGCCTGGACCCTCAGTGCATGTTGTTTCCTTGCATTCCTGCTGTAACTATCCAATAAAGATGGGAATGACAAAAAGAAAACATGACTAGAACTTGTAAATGTTGGTTTTCCCTGCTGGAGAAAGGACAGTCAGACCCTCGGTACATGCACCCTTTGGGAAGATCAGCCAGAGACAGACTAAAAAAAAAAAAAATCACCACAGTTATTAACCTGTTGCAAATAGTCTAACAATCATTTTCAGGCTTCATTAATTAAATATTAAACTTTTCTGATTTATCATTTAATCTTTAAAGCATCAGAAAAAATGGCCACACGTTCCACACGGAGCTTCGTTTTTTGATGTCTTCATCGTTCAGCCGACGTGCTCGCTCACTCTCTCCTGTCTTTGCATCTCATAAATTTCAGTCACTTCTGTACTTGAAAAGCCCATTCAGCGAGCCCCGCGGCGCTTCAAAGGCCTTCGTCTCCTCTTCCAGATCAGTCGTTTTCAGGGAGTAAATGAAGTGGACCTTTGGACAGCAATCAGCAGCTGCGATCTGACAGTTTTCTTTTCTATATAATGATGAATTTAATGGAAAGAACAGAACGGATAACAAGGATATCTCGGGCCAGAGTGAGAACGTGGGTCCATGCACAAGGAGAAGTCCATAAAAAACTGATAGATACAAATACAATAAAAGTGTATCGGCAGACATCCATTTAAGAGAATTAAAAGCACCATTCACCACAAGCCCTGCAACCTGTGCATCACTGACGACTCTGTAAATCACAAACTAATGAAACCTGCTGAGGAAGTGAAGTTCCCGATTTTAATTCAAACATCTTATTCTAATCTCAGATTTTGCCCCTCCGAGTGCAGCCGTGCTGCCGTGGGTCTTGACTTTATTGAAGCTCACCGGCATGCGATCTGTTTCGTGCCTTACATCAGTCTGGATGGGATTTAATCATCCTGTTGTGATGGGATCATCTCATATGGGACATTTGGCTCACAGATAATCTTGCTTATGATTGTTGTGAGGAGGGAATCAGGATGCATTCATGTGCAGCTACGTGATGCCAGCGATGAGTCATGTGGATTATTTTACCCCCACCCCGTTCTGTTGTTTTGTCTGCAAATATTTTAGGAACAAAAGCATTACAGAGAACTCCTTAAAGAATGTATTTTGGTGGCATTTGCTGCACGAGTTTGTGTCTCTAACCTAAATAACTCCCATGTCGTAATCCTATCATCTAAATGTTTGCAACCAAACGCGGCCTTTGTGGAGACCCCCTGCAGGTTTTTTTAAAAAAAAAAAATCAAAACCAACAATAAAAGGAAAAAAAAAAAAAAACAAAATCTGTGATATCAAAGAAATAGAACGAGGTGAAGAAAGTGTTCCAGTGTAGATTCTCACCTACTTGAATCATGTCTTAAAGTAGCCGTTAATACAACCTGTGGGAGTTCTTTGCCCTGATGCTGTGATCATTGTAGGCATTTGCCAATTAGTACTTGAACCTACTAACATGAGATATGAACGGCATGTCTCGTGTGAAGATGTCTGCAAAATGAAAAGTGATTTTCTTTAGCAAATGGCAATGCAGATACTTTCAGTTTCACTTGTTGTGGCTTTAATGTATTTTTTGTCAAAGAACACAGCCTCCATCACAATGCAGGTGCATGTGAAGAATCCAAAAAAACGTGATCTGGGATGTTTTCAAACAGATTAAAGCAGAGCTGCGTGATTAATACTAATCATAGTTTAGGCTTCTTACAGTTAGATGAGCATGATTGACTGTGATGCTGATGTTTAAAATGCTCTCATAGATAATAGTCCTCAAAATCATTTGGTTTAAACTTGGATAAATCAAACATTAGAATGCCTTCTTTTATTTATTTTTTGTTTTGAGCAATTTGCGGTCACACCATAGACTGTATAAAAGATGGACGTAGCAACCGGCCCTGAAAAATGAAGTCAACCTGGAAGTGTCAAAAACCTGCAATATCACTACGTCCACTAGTCCTGGCTCCCATAGAAATGAATTGGAAAAGAACTGATCACAGATCATGAAATACTGCATTCTTCCAGCTCAGGATTTTTTTCTTATTAGTTTTCATGGTCAAATTCAGAGATCAGGTGGCCAATCTGAAAATAAATCAATACTGAATTTTTTAAAAATCATCAACATTTTGCGGGGCAAGGGGCGTGGCTGGCTTGATTTACAGTCGGCAGCGACCATACAGATGAAGCGAGCAAAAGGCGGTAAATGTGGGCGGGCAGAGAGGGCCCGCCTCTCAATCCGTCTGACCAATCGCTGCTCCTATGGCTCCGCCCCCCTCCGACGATTTTTGCGTCACTGGCTCCAAAAATCCAAGATGTCAACCAGGAAGTAGCAAAACCCTGGCTTCATGTTCTCAGTGCAGAAACCAACGGGTGACGTCACGGTAGCTACGTCCATCTTTTATACAGTCTATGGGTCACACACTCTTGAGCTGCCTGCAAAACGGGGAGACTAGAGGCTTCTCTGTGCACGGTCATGTACCTTAACCTGCATGTGAGACATTCAGGGAACATCAGTGAATTGAAGTGTCTGTAATAAGCAGATGTTCAGCAAGTGAAGCCTCATTGTTGAATTGTCTTTAGATTTTGCCTTTAGAAGATGCTCTTAATTCTTATTTTGATGCAAAGATTGAGCAAAAATGTGGCCACACATGGAAGTGAAAGCACCACTTATATGCTGTCCCTAAAATTAATTAACATTGATAAACATTTCTGTTCTCATTGTTCATAAAAAGAAATAGTGATTATCATTTTGACCATAATGATGCAGGCTCAGATAAGAGTGACATTTTGATTGCCCACGTTTCTTGCTTTCTTCAGTATCTGTGCACGGCAGCAGCATTGTTAATGTTCGGGAAGACTGTGTGATGATGGCAAATGATTGAGGCTTTGTTAATATTAAGAACAGGCAGCTCATTCTTCAGCTACCTGGCCTGAAACATTGTAATTCTGGTTCACTTTCACTGCTTTCACATCATAGATTTGTGCCACAGAAAGCAAAAAAAGCTCATGCTGAAGGCTACACTACCTTCTCAGCTCCAGTGTTCCAGGTAGCCAGCACCTTCTGATTCCAGCACCAGAAGTGAGTCAGCTCTGGTCCAGAGATGGTTGCCAGATTTGGCTAGGCTTTGGGATTTGAGCTGGCATATTTAGCCACATCTTGACAACATGGAGACTTTCTGCCGACTTTCCAAACCCTCTTGGCCACTTTTTATTTCCAAAGGCTACAAATCTCGTGACTTTTTCTGGTGTTGTTGGAGTCTCTTCTGACGTTTTGGAGACTGAGCACATATCATTGTGCTGTTACTGTCTTTAGCGAGCAGTGGGTGCTGCCGTCCCAAAGCTCTCCCAACCAGTCAGGAGCTGCGGTCAGATCAGAGGAGATCCTCAAATGAATCACGCCAAGCCGCCAATGATCCCAGCTTGGCCTACAGAGGGAGATGTGAATGTTAAAGTTTCTTCCCTGTCACAGTAAAACAAACCATTTGACTCAGCCTCAGTCACTTCCTCACCTTGTCCACTGTGTGATGCTCTCTGTGACATGAGATAAACATCCCACTAGCGAGCGCATCATGTCAGAGAAAATAAAAAATAAATCCAACAACTAAAAAAACAAAAACCTAAAAGTAACTCTGCCAGAGCGTCTTTAGGTCACTTTAAGTCCCAAGCCCAGACAAAGGAGGAGGGCTGGACGTAAAGCTGCCAGTTTCACATCACGGTCGTTTGATTAAATTTAATATTCTAACATTTACGTTTAATGTGGGTCCAGATAAAGTATTAGTGAGAAGTGACGGCAACATTTTAAAAAAAACAAACCAAGAGTCAACAGACGACGGTTCATTTGTAGTTCTAAACATATTAAGGTTGTTTCGTACTTACTGTTTGTCCGTCCCATGACATTATTCCTCATGCAAATAAAAATTATGCAAATTAGGTGATGACATCATTTAGCTACTTCTAGCGACTTTTAGGACAACCAATAGCTACTTTCCTTACTGAGGCAACAGTGCATCTGGCTGACTATAGACCATCGGGATTTTGGCCAAGATGCAAGAAACATGCCGACCCCGACCAGTTGAGTGTTATATTGAGGGTTAAGGGTGGACAGGTTGGGGTGCAGCACGGTGGAACTGCCTCGTCAATATGGGTCAACTCTAAGATTTGTGAGAAACCAGCTGGTGGAGTTCAGCAGTTAAGATGATGTGCATTGCTGTAAGAAGTGGTAGAAACTAAACACAGCATTAAAGAGAGTGAATGGATACAAACTTGACTCCAAGTGGATTATAATGTCGCTCATTATTAGCCTATTAGCCTCATTTAGCTACCATCTTACTAACAAGATGATGAGCTAATGTGTTTGCATCTTGTTTTCTACCCCCAAATGGACAAAACAAATGGCTTACAGTTTAAAGGTTTTGGCCGTTTGAAGAGTTAAAGAGAGTGAATGTTGTCGGCTGGACGCAAACTTGACTCCAAATGGACGACAGTGATGTTCATTTTTAGCTCACAATTAGCCTATTAGTGTTGTTTGGCTAACATCTTACTATAAAAGTTGATAATATGATGCTGTTTACATCAACCCCTGAGATGGATGAAAATTTGTGGTGGTTTTAAGGGTACGAATTTGTCAAATAAGGACATAATTCTTTCACATATTGGGTTTTTGACATTTATATTGTGGTAGAAGCATCTGCGTGGCCTAAATATCAGCAGAGGCGACCGATAAGGTGTTGTGATCGGGGCAAACGGTAGCTTGAACAAGTTTCTAATGCTGGGATTCTGTCAGTCCGGAAGTTTTGTTGGATTCTTGCAGCTGAGATCTTAAATCGCGTCCCACGACTGAACACATGTGCGCTCTCTGCTTGCAGCCCTTCCTTTGATGAAGAACGTTCCCTTCGGCCAAAGGGGAAGAAGAAGAAGAGAAAGTCTGAGCGGAAGAGGAAAAGGAAAAGGTCAGTTCTTTGGAATTAGATAGCGAGAGGTATTGTTGGATACCTTTGTCGAGAGAGAATTCTTCATGTTTGTTTGTCTTTTCACTCCTGCTTCAGGTCTCCGTCCCACAGCCTGTCACCGCTGAGGAAGAAGAAGAAGAAGAAGAAGAAGAGCTCCAAGAAGAGCAAGCGGCATAGGTAGTTGTTGCTCATTACACCAATACTGGCAAAATGGCTCGACTTGTATTCTTAGATGACCCAAATCATTTCTTTTCCCCCCTCCTCATTCCAGGTATACCTCCAAAAAGTCAAAACACAGGTACGATTTCTTTATTCATCATTTCAGCATGCCTTTCTTTTCTTTGCAGTGTGTGTGTCCTATTTCTAAAGGTGAAAATGTTTTATTAAAAAGCGAGGCTTTGAAGACAAACAGTTCTCACCTGGATAAGTTTTAAACGTGGTGTAACAGTCGGCGCCTGCTTTCAGCGAGATTACTGGATTTCCACCTTAAAGTCCAATTCTCTTTATGTATCAGCGAGAAGGCAGGCTGTCTGCGCGGGATTTGTCAGAATTAATGCCCCTCGCTCATGATTCTATTCTCTTTCATCCCCGCAGCTCTTCAAGTTTAAAACATAAGAGGAAGGATGAGCGCAAGCACAAGAAAAGGTCAGTCTGTGATTGTTGCATCAGAATCATGTACTCTCCAAAATCCTACACAACTTTTCCTTTTTGTGCATCCTTTCCCTCTGTAGCATCCTCCTCTTCTTGCCCCAGTGGTAAGCCCATCCACCCCTTCTCACAACAACAAATGCTGAGGGAAGAAAGGGAGCGGATTCTCCAAAAACGCTCTCGTGTCGGGGCGTGAATGCAGAAATGTGTGGCTCGCTTTCTTTCTTTATTTATTTTTGAGAGCAAAGCGTGGAGAGGAAAAAAAAAAAGCCGGAATCATGCGAGGAGGGAAACTGATTGAACGCTTGAGCCACAAAGTGAGGCAAAAAAAAAAAAAGGGGGTGAAAGAGGGTAAGAGAAACCAATTTCATGCTGTGATCTTGAAACATTTTATAATTCGACTTTGGATGGAGCGCGTTGTTGTTTGTAAGCACGGAGCCAAGTTCAGCAGCTGCTCTCCGACTCGCTACAAGTCCTCGTTCCTTTATTCCCATCACTTCGCCTCTTTTCATGCCTTTGCCGTTCCCTTACGTCGCCGCCCTCTCTCATGTGCTGCTTCTCTCTCGTATACGTCAGGATCCCTCGCTGAGAAGACGAGGTGACGATCTGAATTATGCATGTGTTCTTGAAGTTAAAAAGGCTTGACGTGATTGTTTCTAATCTTGAGCAGAAACAACATCCAGACTTTAAATTCACATATGTGCTCTACATGGCTGCTGCCAGTGTTCATTTTGATTTAATCTGTTTATAGTATCGAGAAGACAAGATTTATTGTTTTTGAAGGATCTTTATTACATTCGGCCTCATCTTATTGTCTTTTAGGCCTCGCTTCCCGGTTAGCGTTCAACAACTACTCGACTCGACTCTTCAGCCTATTTACTGGATGTAGGAGAAACAACAGTCTCCACATCACCTCCAGATGAACTAAACCAGCTGCAGTGCGCTCCACCTGCTAGCCTCGTTAGCCTAAATGAATTCTAAATAGACTAGCATTGGCTGCACGATGAATCATTTTAACCTTGTTGTTTTATACAGAAGTGATAAGAACAGACTCTGAACAGAGCAGAAAATTCATGCAACTTTTGAAACTAGAATTATATTAACTTTCATATTCGAGCACAAGGACTGTTGAAGAATTATAGCAAAGAGTTGTATGATTTGTGTTGGTTGAGCTGTGATATGTCATCTGCTGTTGGTAAAGTTTATGCTCCAGAAAGAAAACACAGACGACTTGGTGCCAGTTGGTTTACTTGAAACTGATTAAGTAAATGTTCTATAAGTAGGCTGGGTGAGTTCAAAGGTGTTCACAGGTGGTTTGTTCCTCTTCTTGCTACCAAAAACAATGGATTCATCCTGGAAGAGTAATGCAGACCAATGACCAATGAGGGTTTTGTCGGATGAGAGAAACTCGACTTACTAATCAACCAACGAACCCGGACACTACAGCAATAATTTAAGCATTTTTTCTATAGCAATTGTACTTTGTGTACCTTGACAGCGAGCTACATAAAAAGATGACTTCCCCTTTATTAGTTCCTCCAATCAATCTGTGACTGATTAGTTGTTTCCCCAAATGTCGTCAGTTAGCCGACACCAGCTGAAAGTTCATTTCTGAGATCGGGGAGGACAGTGTCGTTGCTCGAAAGAAGTCGAATGAAGAAACACAAACGGTCAGATGCATTTTCGACTTTATTTGGTGGCTGGACGTAGGTAGAAGATGGCCTACAGCTTCTAATGGTTGAGACCTTGTGGTTTTCTGTTGTTGAGTCTATCAGAACATTCCAAGTTAGCCAAACTTTTAAAATTAATAGTCAAATGAATGTACAAGTTTGAACTGCATACACACTTACCATCACATATACCTGCATGTTAAGCCTCTGTGACAACATGTGAGTTATTCAGCCATATAGTTAGCAGTAATCAAATGTTTCTCTGTGTACCTTTAGTTATCTTTATACCTATAGATACCAATAGTTACACACATTGTTCCCTCTGTGAATAAAGAAGGCTGCACTGACGCTGTAAAAAATCTGATTATTTCACTTTTTCCAATTTATTTTCTGTTCCTATTCGTAAACTAAAAAATCAAAACCAACTAAAAATTACAGGAGGGAACAATAATGTAGTATATTGTATGATATAAGGGAAATTAATACAAGTGTCGGTAGCACTGGTCTGGAGATATTTTCGCTCCTCCTTGTTGCGTGCTATTTTAGTATTACGGCTTGAATAAAATGCTGTGCGTCGTTGGTTCATCTCATAGACTGTAAAAAAGATGGACGTAGCTACCGTGACGTCACCCGTTGGTTTCTGCACTGAGAAAATGAAGCCAGGGTTTT